GCTCCCTCTCAAAAATCCACTAAAAATGACACTAAAGGGATTTTTTTAAAGGCATTTTCCCATGAGATACAAGAACAAAGAGAATGTGAAGGAAAATAACAGAAGATAACAAATTAACAAATTTTCTTTTAAGTGGAAGTCAGAAAGTAGATGGACAAGTGGGAACTGAATTATTAGACAAGAAGAAAAGATACAGAGACAGTGAAGGGAGCCAAAGAAATCTTTACAAAACCTTAATAGCCTCTGAAAGATAGGAGAAAATATTGCATTCGTGAGACAAGAATGGGATACTATAAAAGGGAACATTGGGAAACAGAATAATATCTATTGCAAATTTAAAATATGATGGCAGAAATTTTAAATCCCAGGGGAAAGCTGGGAGATAAAGTTAAGGGTAACTTCTTGGAAAGTAGAAAGATGAAGATATTGAAAAATAGGGAAAAAGTGATAAGAATATTAGAGAATTAATCTTGGAGATTCAACACCCAAACAAAAGGAATCCTAGACAAAAAAGAATAGGTAAAATGAAGGGTGGAAAAGTATCAAAGAAATAATACAAAAAAAATTCACATAACCTAAATTTCCAGATTAAAAGGATTTACCAGGTACCCAGCACAATGAATGATAAAAGACCCCCACCAAGGCACATCACCACGCATTCTAAAACTAAAAATAGAAGATTAAAATGTTTAAATGATTGCATACAGTTAAAATCCAAAAGATTCTTTAAAAAAAAAAAACCTACTAAAACTAATAATTGAATTCACTTAGGTTCCAGATTACAAGGTCAATATTTGTAACACAACTATATTTCTTTAAACTAGTAATAAAAAACTGGAAAATGAAATTGTTTTTAAATTCCATTTATAATAGCATCCAAAAAACCCATAAAATACTTGGGGATAAATTTAACGAAATATGTACAAAATCTGTGTGCCAAAAACTACCGAACGTCCTTTGTGAAAAATTAAAGAAGACCTAAATAAATGGAGAAAGATACTACACTCATGAACTGGAAGACTTAATATTGCTAAGATGTCAATTTTCTTGAAATTGATCTATGAGTTCAACATAATGCAAATCAAAATCACAGTTGGATATTTTATAGAAATTGACAAGTGGATTCTAAAACTTATCTAGAAAGTTAGTCAAGGCAATTTAGGAAGGAGGAACAGGACTGGGGAGTCACCTGTCCAGGTGGGAAGAAGACAATGAAGAGCTCCAGGAGAGAGGTCTCCAGGAAAGAGAAATTAATAGATGATCCAATGAATGTGAACATATTGAGGGAGACATTGGGACTGAGGTCATGGTAAGTCCATGGAACATCCTATCATCAATTCCAGGAAAAACAAAACTTGTACAAAGGAAGGAAATGTAAACATTGTACCCAACTGCAGATCATTTTTTTACATAGTCCTCGCAACAAAAACACTGAATGTTGACTTAACCAAGAAGTGTAGTATCTGTATCCTGGGAGAAGGGGGAGGCAGTATTTGTGTTTGGTTGGATGGAGATGAAAGCAGGAGAGGGGTTGAAAGAGCATTAAATTCTCATAAGCCAAAACAGAAAGTCAATGATGATATCTAAAACAGAAGGGGGGTCAAGAACTAGCAAAATAAGTTTGATATTTAGAAATATGTAGACCACTACTAGATGAAACAGCTGTGAGAGCTGACAGTTGGTGCCTTGGCCTGCAGGGTTTGGGACTGGAAGGCTGTTGGTTTTCATTACGAGCTTTATAAAGCCATTTCACTTTTTCAACAATGTGCATAAAATACTTAGATTAAAAAAAGAAAATTAAGAAGTCCAAGTGGACATATTCTATATATTCTTTATTTTTTTGTGTGTCTTTAATTCATTTGTACCCTCAAGGTTAAAAGAAAGATCTTGAATTTAAAAACAGAATACCAGCCAGGCATGGTGGCTCACGCCTGTAATCCCAGCTACTCGGGAGGCTGAGGCGGGAGGATCACTTGAGGTCAGGAGTTCGAGACCAGCCTGAGCAAGAGCAAGATACTGTCCCTATTAAAAATAGAAAGAAATTAGCTTGACAACTAAAAATATATAGAAAAAATTAGCCAGGCATGGTGGCGCATGCCTGTAGTCCCAGCTGCTTGGGAGGCTGAGGCAGGAGGATCGCTTGAGCCCAGGAGCTTGAGGTTGCTGTGAGCGAGGCTGACCTCATGGCACTCTAGCCCGGGCAACAGAGTGAGATTCTGTCTCAAAAAAAAAAAAAAAATACAGAATACCAGGATGGATAAAATCTTTGGTGGTGAGAGTTCAGCTATTAGCCCCTTGTGGCTTTTTGGATGGAGGCCAGAGTGGTCCCTCCAACCTCTGCCTGGAAACAGCTAAAGGTTGAATTCTACCACCGTCGCTTGATTAGTGGTTGTCTCTGGAAAGACACACCTCTGGGAAGATCTTTAGGCCAAAGGGGAAACAGTCATTTTATTTCATTTGCATCTGTAAGACTTTTCAGCCTCTGAAAGACCCATATTAAAATGCAAGTTTCTGGAAAAGGGGCAATTTTAACCCCTGGGACGTAAAACCTGGATTATCAATTAGTACTTTTTGCTGGAACTAACAAGAATGGGCCACAGGATGGGGGAAAGGGATGGTGAGGGACGGTGGTTTATCAAAAGGGAAGTAGTTTAGGGGAAACAGTAGATTTTGACATAATTTCTTGGAGGCTGGAACATTGTGACCAAGCCTATAACACAAATTTTCAAACTTTAACGTCAGCAAGCATTGTTCAGAACACCCATTCGCATCCCAATCCCTGCCCCCCAACTTATCTCTGATGTGCACCCCCTCCCTGACACAATCCCCTCGTTGACCCCTCCCAACTCTGACCCTGGTCCTCTCCTGAGATTCACCCATCCCTGGTCCCAGCCCCACCCTGGACAGGGGCTCCCTCCCTGAGGTGAACCATTTCCTGGCCTTGACCAGAGATCTAATCCTTACCCTATCTAGTGACTGAAACACCAGTTTTTGAAATTACTATGCGCTATGTTAATTAAGTACCTGAATACTAGCATTTGTAAAAATCTGAAATCCAAATCATTTATGTCTTGAGCTATACCCAGAGAATTACATGCCTCATTAAAATATCTGATCAAACTATGTTGCACTTCTTTGAAAAGAGTCTGGCTACACCCCTCCCCTGTTTAAAACACTTTCAAGTTATGTTATTGCTGACTAGGTCCCATTTCCCAAGTTACTAGTGAGGCTGAGCATCTTTCTGCGTGTTTATTAGTTGTTCCTATTTCCCCCAGACCCAATATGGATTCTTGTTTACCTGCTGCAGCCCCCGACGGAGTTGTCGTTGGTGTGGCACATGGTAACAGAAGAAAGGTGGACGTTAAGGAAACAATGGGAGAGGTATGGGGGTTAGGAGAGGGAGGAAGAGGAAAAGGAGACCCCAGTTCTCAGCCCTCCTCACCTGGATTGTCTCTGCCTTCTTCTGTCTTCTCTCCTGAATCAGATCTGTCTTAGGGCTTGAGCGCCTAATGCCTTCCCCTCACCCTGCCTGGAGAGCCTCGTCCTCTTCCCCTGGAAGAGCATCTTAGACACTGCTCTGGAGAGGATGGTGACTTTGCCGGGGATTCTTTGGCTGCAGCCTTGTAGCCACCAATGCATCCCTGACAGTCATTCTCTGCCTGATGCCCCTCCTTAAGACTCATTAACCCCTCACTGATCCCATCCCTAAGCCTCACTCTGCACCTGGTCCCAGCCCCATCTCGAATCTCCCTGTCCCCGATGCCTCACTGCATCCCTGAATCTCACTCACCCCATCCCCAACCTCTCCTATTTCTAGATGTCTCCCCACTCCTGACATTCATCCTCATCTGACCTTATCCCAAGTTGCTGACTCATCCCTGCCCCCCAATCTCTAACTGGAACCTCAATCACTGGTCCCAATCACAACCTTGATCTAAATCTTACCCCTTAGAGCATAGATAGAATGACATTACCAGAGGCCGGGACGGGTAGTGGGGAGGGGGGATATGTTGCTCCATAGAAATATTGCTTTATGGAGATGCCCTCTATAATATAGAGACAGAAATGGTCTCAGGAGTTTTGCAGGGCTTTGCCCTGAAGGAATATGTGAACATGTTAGTTTGCATATCAAAAGCTGCCTCACCTCAGGAGGGCATCTCAAAGGTCAGTGGCAGCTGCTTTCCAAGGTGACACTGCAGTCTCAAGCCTGTGGTTTTCACCTGCTTTGAACGACAAAGCAGGTTTGCATGGAGCCACGGGATGAGAGCTGATCAAAGAGTGTCAGCCCGAGAGACTGACACCTGCGGCTAAAAGCAGTTAGCCCAAGGGACAGTTCCTGCTTGATCCTGACTACCTGTCTCCATCCACAATAACTAGATAAAGAAATATGGAGCCACTGTATCTCTGTTTAACCCTTCTGTTAAGTGATATCTTTATCTTAGAACTTAGAAGTTTGTCTTTGAAAGATTTTGTAACCATTTCTTCATGTAGATAGAGTTAATTAAGGGATCCATAGAAGTTTTGGAAGACTTTTAACCTAAAACGAACTACCTGTTATTATGTAAACCTGTTACCCCTGGCAACTGATCTCTGTACCTATATAAATACCCATGTGAAACTTCACTCGTGGCCTCACAGTTCACAGGAATGCTGTGGGGTCTCCAGTCCCCCCCTTTATAAATCTATAAAACTGTACATTCGTCTCTGTGTATTCTTTTATTTCTATATTCAATTATTTTCTATTATTTCCTTATCCTTTCCAACGACCCCTGCCTAAGGGACCCAATTTTTGGCTCCCCGCAGGGTGCAACAATACAGTCAGATAGAAGGAATATGATCTAGTATTTGGTGGCACACACAATAGGGTGACTATAGTTAACAACATTTTATTGTATATTTCAAAATAACTAAAAGAGTGGAACTGGAGTGTTCCTAACACAAAGAAATGATAAATTCTTGAGGTGATAGATATCCCAATTACCCTAATGTGATCATTACACATTACATATTGGTATCAAACTATAAAATGTACCCCATAACTATGTACAACTATTATGTACCCATAAAAATTTTTTAAATAAATCCCATCTCTGAGCTTCATCCCATTCCCAACCTCAAGCCATCCTTGTTCTTTCCCCATCCCACCTAAACCCACATATTCTAAGTTTTGCTTAAGCTGGTTTGAGTTCAGTTTCTATTATTTGTAATCAAAAGAGCCCTGACATCTCCAGGACTCACTTGGGACATTTCTACAGAGATAAAAATCTAACGGGATAAAGAATGAAGGCAAAGTCAATGTGCAGCCGAGGACAGCAAGGGGGAGATGGGGAGGACAGCAAGGGGGAGCTCCAGACAAGAGGAGCTCTGAGCAGATGGTGTACAAATGAACTGGGGTCCTTCCAGCATCCATTCATTCATTCAATGTTTCCCAAGCATTTGATAGGCTCCAGGCAGTGTGACAGACATGGGGATATAGAGTGAACAAAATAGACAGGATTCTTGCCTCAAGGGGGAAAATAGACAATCACCGAAATTCAGGGTAAGCATCTGGGGAGGGGAGAGGTGAGCTGATATAATTTGAGGGAGCCAGGCAAGGTCTAACCCAGAAGATGATGGTCAAGTTAAGGTGAGGCTGAGACTCTGGAGGAATAGCTCTTTTTACGTATGGACAAAGGGATGCTCCTCAGCCTGGGGTATGAGCATGACTGGGAGTTTCTGTCCCTCAAGAGACTGTTCTAGCAGGAGTTAAAGCCCCAGGGAATGTCGCCCTTCAACCCAGAGAGATGCCTTTGTGGGGTGCTGCTCCCATTCTACCACAGGAACGGCCAACAACACTGCACACACATTTGACTCTGTGTCACACCCAAAATACTGCCCTAGGGACAACCTGGAATAGAAACTTTATTAGAAACATCTGGCTGCACAGCTGACTGATGACGGTGTATGGTTTTCTGGGGTTGCTGGTGTCAGCCTGGAGGCTCCACAATGGCAGAACTAATCCTGTTCCATGCGTGGCTTGGTGTATGCACAGCACATGCTGTCTGCATGAGAGTGAAGAGGGTCCTCAAGCAGTAGGGGCTGCCTTCCCACCCCTCTTCCTCTCTGTCCACCCACCACACCCAGGGTAAATGTGTTTCCAGCTCTATCACAAGGCCACCTGGTGGTTTGATGATTTTTGGTAGCACCTGCCTCGATGTCCCCAGCAGACACTACAACATACGCAAGATAAGAAAACAGTTGCACGAGCTCAGATCAGAGGACACAGAGGTATGAAGGAGCCTGGTTGGAGTATGCTCGGTGGTTGAGGGGACAGCCCTGAGAGGGTTGACAAGAGAGTCCAGCCCATGTGAGCAAACAGCTTCAGCCCCAGCTCTTTGATCTAACGTCGGATTCAGGCTGTGGATATGACTGTGCTAATTATGCAGTTAGTGGACCAAAGATACAAGAGTTCAACAGGACTGATGACACTTCCTGTTCATGGAGGTGTGAAGGCCAGTCCTGGGTGGTACCTCAGCAGTTCCTCAGAAGGTTGGCTTGGCCCTTGAAGACACCAGTCCCTAACTTCCCAGCATGCTATAGCCTCCCTCCCAAACCCAGATAGTATCTGTCCAGAGCCAGACCCCTCTCTCCGCACAGCCTTGGGTACGAGGACAGATATTTTTTCATGGATGGTTTTTAGAGGTTAGAAGAGACATTGATAGAGGAAGAAGTGTAAGAGGTAATGCGATGGCGTGCCAAAAACTCCTTGCTGACCAGGCCACGGGTGGCCAAGATCTTGAGGAATCCATAGCGAAAATTTTGGCCAATGAAGGCGTAGATGAAAGGATTGAGGCAGCTGTGGAGGAAGCCCAGAATCTCAGTGGCATCCAGGGCCCGGTCAATGTCGTTGCGGCGCTCACAGGTCTCCGAGATCACCTGTGTCCTCATGAGGGTGTCTGCGAGCAGGACCAGGTGGTAGGGCAGCCAGCAGAGCAGGAAGATGAGGACAACAGTAAAGATGACCCGCATGGCCCGGTGCTTCTGCCCCATGTGGGCCTTAACCAGCGTGCACAGGGTGAATCCGTAGCAGAACAGCATGACCAGCAGCGGCAGGACAAAGCCGAAGGTGTGGGGCAGGATCCGCAGCACCATCCGCCACTTTGCTGTGTGATTTCCTAGGACCTCATAGCAGACTGGGTCAGAATTGTTTGGTTTATAGGCCTGGCGGAAGAGGAAGAAGGGCAGGGACAGACTTAGAGACAGTCCCCAGATACCCAGACATACAAACTTGACCAGGTGGCGCTTCTGGGTAAGAGCGCGTGTGGCGTGGACAATGGCCAGGTAGCGGTCCACGCTGATGCAGGCCAGCAGGAGAATGCCACTGTAGAAGTTGACTTCCTTCAGGAGCGACACCAGCTTGCACAGGGCTGTGCCAAAAATCCAGCCAATCGCCTTGGAGGCGGCCCAGATGGGCAAGGTCAGGGCGAAGAGCAGGTCAGCTATGGCCAGGTTCAGCAGGTAGACATCGGTGACCGAGCGGCTGACACGGCCATACAAGATGACCAGCATCACCAGGGAGTTTCCCAGCAGGCTGAGCAGGAACACCAGGGCATAGACGACAACTATAGCATGCTTGTTGAGTGTCTCAGTCTCTAGCCTACAGGGGCTGTAGTCTTTTTCTACAGATGGCATGCCAGAGGAATTTGAAAACTCATCAAACCAACTCCACATATCAGTAACGGTTTCCTCAGATTCAGCCATGGTTTGATCTAGCTGAAAGGTTGGAAGGAAAGAAATGTGATTGGGTAGCTCAGATCAAGGCATACTCATCAAGGATGGGAGAACAGTTACTGGGACACCTTTTGTTTCTCCGTTGGTTTGGCAGCCAGAGATCCTCCCCCTTTGCTCCCAACCTGGGCTTCGTAAGAGGCTGGCTTCCTCCTAGTATCCACCTTCCACAAAGCGGAGGCCCGGCCTCAGTGTGGGGTAAGACGGAATATGGGGAAAACCTTTGTTCTTGGTTGGCCTGCACACCTGTCCCAACTCTGCCTGCAACTCCACCTCTGTCTCTGCTTCAGCCTGCTCCATCCTCAGCCATGTCTACCTACACTCAGATGGGGGGACCAGGCTGGCCTTAGACATTCAGGGAGGGGCCAGCAGTAAGGAAAACAGAAGGAGGCAAACGTGTTTCCATGTCTCTCTTTCTATCATACTTTCCCTCCTACGTGTTCCCTGATTTTCGTTTATCCTTCTTAAGATCTACCAGGGAAAGGACGTGATAGCAACCAATGACATCAAACTGTATTTTAAACCTTGTCTTCAAAAGAGCAATAAACACTTTGGTCCTCTTTCTAAAGGATTTTTAAGTATTTCAGAGGATAAAATCCCCATCTTGGTCCCTGAATCCTATACTAAACATCTGCAGAATTGTTCAGCAGTTGTCAAAATTTTATTTTCTTGAAAGACACTTTGTTGAAACAAAATCTTCCTAGAAGCCCAATATGTGAAACAGATAAAAGCTGAGTCTTTGTGGGAGACAGTGGGCTGTTCTGTCTACCCACACAGTCCCTAAGGAGCCCCATCGAAACCTCCAGGGCTCTGGAGAGCAGACTGAAAACCTCTGGAAAGTCACCCAGAATGGAAATGAGCGTGTCTAGCACCCAGGCCTCATTCTACTCTGATTCTATCCCCAGTAAGCTGTGTGATCTTGAGTGGGGCCTTTGAGCTCTATGGGTTTCAGCCTTCTCATCTGCAAATGGAGGAAGACAGAGTAGGGAACCTCTACTTTGCTTCCAGGTCTGAGGGTCCTGGGAAGTTGGTTCAGATCCACACATTTTAGTATGTTCTCTCCCTGCCAGTATTTACATTTGCATAGAAGACAAAGTCTCAGGGCAACGTGATAAACATCAAATTGGAGAGTTGTCAGCCTCTGCCCCCCAAAAGGGAGGGGAGGTATAACAGGAGGAGATCAAGAGTCTGTGTCCCTCTTGTCAGCAACTACAGCCATGTACAAGGTCAGAGTTGAATACATTGTCACAAGGGAGGAGGGAGACAGCCAGTTGAGCAGAAATCCTCAGGTCCCCTTTTTTTGCTCTCCCTTTGCTGCGACAATGGGTCCAGTCATCATCTGTGGCATATGTACCATGCTCTGTAAACCTATACCTTGCTCTTGCTCTATAATCCTATCTTTTTCTCCTCAATAAACCTCATTTCCATGCTTGCCTTAAAAAAAGAAAGAAGAGAAATCCTCAGGTCCCTGGGAAATGAATGCATTTTCTAAAACAAAGACAAACAAAGCCTCCCTTCCCCAAAGAAAGTTCTGGTAAGCAGAGATGGTTTCTTACCTGAGGCACCAGCCAGGTGTGTCCAACTGTAAGAGCCTGCAGCTTAGAGACCAGAGTGACTTAAGAGTTAGAGGGAACTTGATGAATAAAGGGAAACAGGGAAACGACGTCAGGCCACACCCCTGCTGAGCCCCACCCATGGCTGCATTTGCAGAAGAGCAGATGAGGTAGAGGACCCCAGGAAACAGAGACCCCAGGGGTCCATATGTCCCAGGAGGTACCAGCCTGAAGCTGGGGTTGAGGGTCCATTATCTGAATTCTCTACTCTATAGACGATCACTTTTATTCTCTTCCTTTTCTTGAATTTATTTCCAGTTGTTTATTGCTAAATTCCCTAGCAGATCAATTTTGAAAGCTTCCAACTTGTCTGACAAGAGTAAAGGGAGAAGGATTTGACTTTTTATGGTGGAGACTTCAGAAAGAGTCCACCGTAGGAGGGACTCGGGGGCAATCTGGTGGGAAGGAGGTGAACAACTGCACTTACGCCACGTTTGGACAATGAGCACACGGTCTTTACATACATCGTAGGCTTCTTTGGAGTGGCCTGGTGGAGATTCGGGGGGAGAACTGACCCCCCTCCACCGCCGGCTACTCTTTTGCACAACCACAGCCAATGCCTGGTTGATTAGCATGGCTGTGAGGCTGGGAGCATGGGCCACCCCTGAAGTCTACCTGGATCACGGAGACACCATAAGAGCTGGGGTGATCAGGGAATGGAAGAGGTGGGGTCAAGGTCACTGCTACCCCCCCCCTCAGTAATGACAAACGGCTTCTCTGGGAACCTGCCTTAGCTGCCCCCAGCAGGTAATGACTGTCCCCTGGCTTGACTCCTCCGGCACCTTCATCACTTCTCCATTATAACATGATCCCTCCTGTACTGGAATGAGGTCTTCACAAGTCAGGCCTCCCCCCGACACCGTGAGCCACAGGAGACCAAGGACCCCTCTGAGTCATCTCTGCCAGGGAACAGAGAGCTCTCAGTGGATGGTTGTGGAGTGTGATGGTAGACATACCTCGCATGATTCACGGATCATGGATCACCACGATTCAGAGTGTCTACTGCTTTTGGCCACACACTCATACCACAGCTATGTCTGAAAGCTTCACTTCCACACAGCCAGGCTGGTCTGCCTGGCATGGCGCCTCCCCACCCATCCTCTAGCGTTTGGAGTTAGCGCCAATCTGTGCAAGCATAAACCCTGCCCTACCACGAATGCCAAATTTACCGTGCCACTCGTGCCTACAGTTCTGCCACTGGCGAGCCCGTTTGTAAGCTAAGTAGTGTTTTCCTCCTGGATTGTGTTACATTCGTAAATAGTGACAGGAAGTGCAAGGAGACTCGCCCTTTGCTTTGCTGATGTTGGACGACTGTGCTCTGATGCCTTAGACTGGAAAGGACTTGAAGAGGGGGCGGTCCTGGAAGGGAGGAGACATCCCCCCTATTAATCATCTAGGGAAGAGGCAGCTCCAGGGGCAAAAAATAGTCACTGGGGACACAGAAGACAAGAGGCCCTGCAAGGCCTGGACTACAGAACACCCCGTGTACTCAAGAGCAAGCGGAGCTGATGGGGAAATGTCGCTCTGCCACAAGGCACCAAGCAGTCACTGGATGGGGAAGCCGGACAAGCAACTGCTGAGAAAGGCCCGGGCCACGAGGCAAGTTCCTCTCAGTGTGTAAGTCCCTTCTGCTTTTCCCAAGCCCTCTGTCAAGGGGGACCACCATTCCAGTCTGTTTCCACACATCACCAAGGGGCCAGGGAAGGGCCCGGTCTACCCACAAGCCCGGGGAGTGAAGGGCAAGGAAGCAGCCCCTCTGGAAGGGCCTGGTGGTGGCAAGAACCACTGCTGAGGTCCCCAAGGGAAGGTGGATCTGGAGGACATGAGGTGACATGAAGCTTTCACTGCGCAGCAGGAAAGAGCATTTCGCTGAAGGAGGCGAAAGGCACACAGACACCCTGCGCAGAAAATTCTCCTCACTTGAAAATGTTCCAGCAAGTCATCCCGCCCGAGCCATCTTCTGGACCTCACCTCCCACCTGTAACCGCCCCCTCGTAAACTGACTACGATTCCCCTGATGGGAAAGCATTTTTCATTCTCTGCAGAACACCCACTGCCACAAAGATGGCTGTGACAGGTGCAGCCTGAGTGCCACTCAACTGGCAAATGTGGCGTCTCTTCGGGTGACACTGTTCTTACCATTCTGCTTCAAATGTGGCAGCTTCTACGCAGACCGTGGGAACAGCACAAGGTGGCTGTAAGGACATCTGTGTTGTCCCTGCATCAGCCTTGTGCCAGCGTAAGCATCGTGACACAGTCCTCCAGAAGAATCCCCTTGGATTTGGGGACCAAAGAGGAGGGAAGGGGTGGAAGGAGGTTTCTCCCCTCCTCTGGGGACATACCCACTGCCACAGCGACAGGTCCAGGGTACGTCTGTGACCCAGTCACAGCAAAGGTTGGATGTGTGTTCCATGCATGGGGAAAAGCAAGTGTGTTGTCTTCTCGCAGCCAAAAGCCATGTGGCCACCATAAACAGCCAAGCCTGTCCAAGGTCAAAAACGAACACACGGAGGAAGGCAGAGCTGAGAGTCACAGGTGATGGAGCCAGAGTCCTGAGCCAACCATGCCTGGAGGCCATCTTCTCTCGGGACTTTTCAGTTCCATGAGCCAATAAATTCTCTTTCTTTTTAAATATAATCTTACTTTTTTAGAGACAAGGTCTCACTCTTGCCCAGGTTAGAGTACAGTGGCACAATCATGGCTCAGTGCAGCCTCGACTCCCCAGCTCAAGTGATCCTCCTGCCTCAGCCTCAGGAGCAGCTGGGACTACAGGCCAGCACCACTACACCCAGCTAGTTTTTTTTATTTTTGTAGAGACAGGGTCTCACTATGTCGCCCAGCCTGGTTAAATTCTCTTTATTGTTAAGACCAGCTCGCATTGAGTGTTCTGTTACCTTCGACTAAAACCGTGCTCAACTAAGAGAGTTCTGGAATCCTAACGTGATCTGGGATGAGAGGAGAGGGCATGAATGTGAGCGAGTCACAGAGTCCAGGCTGTGACAGTCAGGACACAGCAACAGTCCACGGAGGGCTCTTCTTTGTTAGTTTGTTACCTTGGGCAAGGATCTGAACATGTCTCAAAATACCCTTCTCTTAAAAAGGGGGGCTAATAAGACTCATCCCCCAGAGCTGCAGTAACGGTGCAGCTGGGCGCAGATTCCAGCTCTGTCCCTGTCAGGTGTTGTCTCTGTGCCTCAGTTTCCTCATCTGGAAAATAGAATAAAAGTAGGGCCTGGGCCGGGCGCGGTGGCTCACGCCTGTAATCCTAGCTCTCTGGGAGGCCGAGGCAGGTGGATTGTTCGAGCTCAGGAGTTCGAGACCAGCCTGAGCAAGAGCGAGACCCCGTCTCTACTAAAAATACAAAGAAATTAATTGGACAACTAAAAATATATAGAAAAAACTAGCTGGGCATGGTGGCGCATGCCTGTAGTCCCAGCTACTTGGGAGGCTGAGGCAGGAGGATCGCGTGAGCCCAGGAGTGAGAGGTTGCTGTGAGCTGGGATGACGCCACGGCATGCTAGCCCGGGCAACACAGTGAGACTCTGTCTCAAAAAAAAAATAAAAAAAGTAGGGCCTGGATCCTAGGACGGGCATGAGGAAAGTGAGTTAATACATGTAAAGTGCTTGGCACAGAGTCTGGCAGATAATAGCTTCCAGTCACTTTTGTCTGTCTTCGTACATGACCCGCACGGTCCTGTTGGGGAACTTGGTATCACACACACCAGAAAATGCAGACTCTGCAATTCCATTTAGTGAGGCAAGGAAGGAAGGGAGGGAGGGGACAAAGTTTATCACGGGGTTGTTTATAATAATAAAACTAGGTGATAATTTCAATGTCCTTCAAAAAACTTTTATACAAACTATACTGGATCCATAAAAAGGAACACTATGCTTCTATAAAAACAATAATATACCACCATAATTAACGCCATTAATGGAAAGTATTCATAATAGAATGCTAAGTGGAACTAACGATTAACAAGCAGAGTGGACAGCATCACCTTTTGTAATAAATGTATGTATCACGTGTGCCGGGGAAACATTGGGAAGACAGACAAAATCTGAACGGGGTTATCTTTGGGGAGTGGGATTACAGATATTTGCTTTCTTGTTTATGTCTTTTAACATGGCCCAATTTTTAAAATGAACTTGACTTTTCCAATGAGAAAAAAAATACATATGTAGCCATTTTCATTAATTAATAAATAACCCTGTGATGGTCGTTTCCCGGCACAGCTCAGCTTGAGCCCAGGACTCTGAGCTTCCGCCCCACGGGGCTCCTCCCCCTCAACCCTGAAACCCCTGCAGCCTCGTCCCACTCTGCTCCCGCACCACTCGGTTCTCCACCGTTGCTCTTTGCGCTTATTTCCAGGAGTCTTTCTCTCCCCCCGGACTGGTAGGAGGCAGGACTCTGGCGCCGACTCCTGGTCGTGGTTCTAAAAGTGTCCCTGCCTTCCCTCCCAGGCCTTCCTGCCAGGCAGGGGCTGTAAAGGATTCTAGTGTGCGTCCTCAGTGCCCAGCACAGTGTGTGACACCAGAAGAAGGCGTGTGGCCCATGCAGCCACCCAGGGCCCCGGGCTCAGAAAAGCCTGCCCTTGGGGTTTGACGTTCTGCAGTTCCAGTCTTACAAGTCTTAATAATTTTATCTTGGAACGCGTGTTTTGTAAGTGAGGTCTACTGGGCCAAGGGTCACGCGCAGGGACTTGGAGCCTCAGCTCACGTGCTGGTCCACCTCTGTTGCCCGAGCGACAAGGTCTCAGCGTCGCACTCCCCACTCCAAGAACGCTGTGGTCCTCAGCCCCCGGGAGGTGGCCTTGGAGCAGGCACGGGGACAGTCAGTGTCAGGGCCCGGGCACCCATGATGGTCTACACTTCCCCACCAGTGTCCTCATGCCCCAGGGAACACAACATTAAATAGAAAAAAAACAAACCACTCAGTCCACTGAAGGGAAATATCATGGAAGAAAGGAAAAAGCTTTTTTCCCAGCTTTTT